GTAGGGGAAGTTGTATCTGTAACATGTTGGTTAATAACCCTTAATTGAGCCTTTTCTCTCTGAATTTCTTTTGTCATACATGATATTCTGTTACAATGTGTTTCACAATTTAATTATGTACTACTTTAAAAATTACTTCCTGATTGTTTGAAAGTCTCATCATTTCATTTCATTATCCGAATTTCTCTTTGGCAAGTAAAGAATGAATCATTTTTGTTTCATCTTCTCTATGTAACATTCATTTATGACCGGTGAGAGGATTTGAAGTGCTCTAATGGAATGTCATTGTTAGAAGGGTCTCCTAGATTTTTTGTTTTGTTGAACATTCCTAATGCTACCTTTTTAGCCTGCATGGAAAATTCATCTTTAAAAAATATTTTAGTAAACAATTATTTCCTGTACATGGAATTTGTTAGAGAAATTTTTAGTTTTGATTCTCTATGTGTTTTCATATTTGAGAGTTTGTTTGTGTTCAAGTTACAATCTCATAAAACAGCTTCATAAGCTATATAAACCTTGATCTCTCCAGAGCTGTATTTGGGATTAGATGAAGAACAAATTTACTTCCTGAACATTATTATACTTTTGCAGGTGTATATTACAAAAAAAGATGAGGACTTAAATCTGAGGCAGTTATATTTGAAGAATTTATGGTAATACTAGAATTCTGAGAATGTACAGACTGAAATTAAAAATATTAAAACTCAATAAAGGAAGAAAGATATAAGGCTGTCTTTTGGGTTGTGACTCTCGCATGCTTTTGTCTACTACCTATGAAAATTCTGGAGCATTCTAGACTGAACTTTATCTGCTTATAGTGAAATATTTTCCTGTTTTCCAATTTTTTTTTTATTCCATGTTCTTTTTCAGACATTTTATGTGACTTCAGTGATAAATCTGATTGCCTCCATGCATAGCCTAGGAATGAAGAAAATTCAGTCAGTGAAGTCTTTGGTAAAGCGCTACATCTAAGAAAGTGCTGAAACCATTCTTGTTGTCTAGTGTTCAACCATAACCACAGTGAGAAGGAGAGAAAGTCACTGTAAATTTGCAGATAAATTCTCAAAGGTCTCTTATAAGCTGCTATATAATTCTTGAGGCAATCCAATATCTCTTCTAAAATGAAATTTCAATTTACATCTTTGCAGAGGGTCTTTATGTTGTTTTGATCAGATGTTTCTTTTCAAAAGGATGTTAAAAGGATGGGGTTTTTTTCCTGCTTCCTGGCCAGGGGGATGATTTTCTGCTCTGTTCTAATTTGCTAACTACGAAATGGGAAAATAATCTAAATATTGCTCTTGTCAGAGCAATACCACAGAATTTCTATGGGATTGGAATCTAATCAATCATTAGAAGTTCTTTAATAAAATCCAGATCTTTTTATATATTTCCCATATCACAAGCAATTTCATGTACTTTCAGTTTTTAAATGCAAGCTTCATTCAATCTGAAACAGTAATATTCGATAAAATTTTCCCCTGATATGAGTCAAAGATGTCCTGCATGATTTTTGGTCCATATTTTACTGTCTTTACTTCCAATTAAATGATCTGTGAATACTGGTAATTACACTGCCTTCCTTTGCCAAATCACTGAAGTATCAGTAAAGGGTCATCATTTAAACAGCTACAAATTAATCACAAAAGCCAACCTTTAACACATCCATACAGTGATTTGAATTCAGAATGTCCCCCTTATGCCTCTTCATTTTCCTTTTTTGAATTGTAGCTATTGTAGCTGTATTGCATCACAGAACGTTAAGCATGTTTCAGCTCATGGGACTGAATCAGTCATGATTTTAGGAATTGAAAACAATGTTATAATACTGTAAATGACAATATTTTAAGCAGTAACAGTTTCCTAATATGCATGTCTATTTTATTGATATCTAGGTTTTCAGATTGAAAATGTAATAGTTCTTTCACTAACTGAAATGAAAATTCTAAGTTTAACAGCAACACCAGAAGATGCAAACCAAAAGGGCAAGAAAGTCAATAACAAAAGTAGAAATTATTTGTGAAATTATTCTATTAGTTGAATTATCATGGCTAGCAGATGCAAGATGGGATTATTTTTTATATTTCAGTGGCTTATTAGTGAAGATTCAAACTGTATGGTTTCCCATATTAAGAAGGCTGTGTAATAGAAGAAGAGAAGGAGAAAAGGGATAAAAAATTAGGATAGGATAGTTTTGTTTATATAATAACCTATTGTCATTTGGAGTTAGAAGGTATTGGGAGCAGCAAGGGTACATTTCAAAGAAGAGTTAAGTTAAAATCTTAATACCACTGGTTCCATTTCAACGTGGAAAGTTAAAAGAGTAGTTTGGTAGACACACGTCTCATTTATTTTGGGCAGAACTAAAATATAGTGAACACCTTAAAAGAGTAATGTGTCTCTCTAGATAGAATGGTCCAGAGAGATTTGTGTCAGGATCCAAAATTCCTCCATAAATGTAGTGTTTCAGCCCCTTCATCCTTATCATGAAATGAGTGCATAATAATGTGTTTAGATCTGCTTTCATGATCTTCACAACTTCTGTATATGCTTGTAGACTAGCAAGTATCTTCTGTGCTAGAGTATGCTAACAGCTATTACTCTTTGAGTTTGCCCATGGAAAAAATAAATATATAAATCATAATAAAAGACATGAAAAGAAGAACTGAAAATTACTCATTCCAGGTGAAGGTGCAAGCTTTTAACTGGCTTGGGATTGTCCAGTTCTGGTGTGTGGGTACCAGTGACCTTTTTGATGTTCAATCTGAAAAATAGCATATCCAGTTATAAACATGATGTTGGAACAGCAATTTAATAGGTTATAGGAAAAAGAACCATATTCTAGATTACTGAGAAAATCTGCACTGCCAAACTTACAAATTTCTCACTTGGCCCACTCTTATTAAACTGATAAAAACTGAATGTGAAGAGTAATTATTGAAGGAATGTTTTAAAATATTATTTAAACCAATCTGACATACAAATGTGTGGTACTTCTGTTGCCCTTATTCTTAAGATTTTCTAAAGCCTTCTGAGTTCACATTCTTGTAGAGAACTTTCTCACACAACTTTCTGTAAACAACCTATTGTTTTGCATTCCCTCATAGAGGTGGAGAAATTTGATGTACTAGTAGTTTGTGCAATGTCGTTGGAGAGGTGGCACATTCAACCTCCAATCCACTGTCACCTTTGGAAAAGTATAAATGCTGGAGTCAGAAAATAAACTTCCTCTTTTTCACCTTTGTAATAGCAGTGCTTGTGTCGTGTTGTCACATGTCCTATAGTGACACTACTTCTGTTGATTTCCATTACAAAAAAAAAAAAAAAAAAAAAACAAAAAAAAAAAAAAACACAAAAAAAAAAAACCAAAGGAAATCACAGTAGTGAGACAGCTTTTTGAGTTTTTTTCCCATTATTTTTAGCAATATTAGTGTCAACAGGTTTTCCTGAAATGCAGTGCTTTTATTATACAAGGTAAATGAACTATTTAGTTAGGATAACCATCATTTTGTTTCTTTTTATTTTTCCTTCATTACAGTTCCCACTGATGAATATCAGTGATAGGTAATTTTTCTTTAACTCAGAATACGGGTTAATTATTGTCAGAGTGGCATCTAAGAAAGTTGAGATTGATGCATTTGGTCCATTAGCAGAAATCCTCAGCTGTTTGAAGGGGATCTGCTGCTTGGAGGAGTAATCCAGGCAAGAACATGTGATTAACAATATGTAAATCTGCTGTCTTAGAAAGAAGTCTTGCTTTATGTTAGATAAAATAGCTTTCTCTTCTATACTTCCTTCTGATTTTGTTATAAGGAAATTCAGTTTGCTGGTAATTGGCAAAGAATCTTAAGAAATAAGAAAGAAGAAATAAATGCAAGAAATAAATGTTTGACCTTGCCTATTGAGTTCAGGATGGACTTAAGATATTTAATATCTCTGGAAAATACAGAAACTGTGAGAAGTTTTGGCTTTTATACAGTTGTCCTCTAGAAGCTCAGTTATAATTATTTTTGTTTCTTTCTATTTATACTCAAAAGATTGCAGTTCATGGGGTTCTTAAATACTCTTAATTTAGCTAATCTCAGTGTCTTGAGGGTTTATAAACTGTTGCTTAATATACTATATACTTTATTTTCAGTCATTAACTGGAAAACGTAAGGTATTTAGAAAGGCTGGGACTATAAGTCATTGTTGCAGATATTATGTGATCTTGAACAGAAAAACGATGTACAAATCCCATCACATTTTACATTTTAACTTAGTTTAGCTACATGTTTAGCTTAGTTTAGCTACATGGAACAAAACTTCATAAAGTTCAATCATGCAAAAAGATGGTCTGGTTTGGTTCACTACAGTTGGTATACAAACAGTTGGATTTTCCCCAGCCTACAGCTAGCACAGCTATCTAGTATGGGTCTACATTGCAAAGACTAACAGCATGTCCTAGCCAAGTGAAACAGCAGAGGACAGAACAAACTGTGTTAATAGAAGCCCCGTCAACGGGGTTGGGATATGGGTGGAACGTTTACCAGCAAAGTGTAATAGAGATAGGTAAGACTCATTTTCTGTTTAATTATTGTTTGCCAATAAATTTACCTCTGTAAAGAGAATAGCAACAACAGCAGGTTTAATTACTTAGAAATCATGCTACAAATAAAGCTTGAATTCTTAGACTATTCATCATCTCCAGTAATTTCCATTTTTAAGAACATATATCTTGAGAATATGTTGCAAGGTGTGTTATTTCTGTTATAGTCAAACCTGAAACTGCAACATGCAAAGATATCATACAAAAGCGTTCTGTGTTCTCAATTGCTTTTAATGGATATTTAAGATGTTTACTTATTTCAGGGCACCAACCTTTTTTGTAGAAACTGATGTTCATATTCAGAAACATGTGCTGTTTAAATCAGCATTACAAAACTTTAAATCTTGGATGATTTAAAAATAAGCACAGTGAATGAAACAGTCCATGTTATCTCTCCTGTGTTCATTTCTTTCAGTGCTGGAGTCGGCAGGACTGGCTGTTTCATTGTGATAGATGCCATGTTAGAGAGAATAAAGCATGAAAAGACTGTAGATATTTATGGCCATGTAACTCTAATGAGAGCACAGAGGAATTACATGGTTCAAACTGAGGACCAATACATCTTTATCCATGATGCACTACTGGAAGCAGTGACATGTGGAAATACCGAAGTGCCAGCCAGAAACCTGTATGCATATATCCAGAAGCTGACACAGATAGAAACAGGCGAGAATGTCACAGGAATGGAACTAGAATTTAAGGTACTGGGATTTTATGCTGTGGGTAACCAAAACAAAATGATGTAACACTGAAGCTGCTCTGTTCTCCACCACTTGTTTCCAGTAATCAAACAATAAAAGACACCATTAGATTAAAATTTCAAATCAAGATAGTTCTTTCTAAAAAGTACAGTTCCATTCTCAATGGGTGTCTGGACAAGAAGCATTCAGTTGAGGGTGATTTAACCATGATGTTCCTTTATTGTTTTTGTATCTTGAAATACATGTTCGTGTGGTGGTTTAATACTGGAATTTATCCAAATGCACTAATAAAGCAGACATTGTACTTGTAAAAGGTATTAAAGAAGCTTTACAGATATTTGGGTAATGCAATAGAATATGGAAAAGTAAGCATCTGAAGTTGAAATTATTCAATAATGGCTACTGAGCAGAGATTATAAAACCTGATAGCATCTCTTATCTTTTTTATACCTGGCCTTAATTCTTTTAATTTGTTTTCAACAGCGTCTTGCTAGCTCTAAGGCTCACACTTCAAGATTCATCAGTGCCAATCTTCCATGTAATAAATTCAAAAATCGCCTTGTCAACATTATGCCATATGAATCCACAAGGGTATGCTTGCAGCCTATCCGAGGAGTAGAAGGCTCTGATTATATTAATGCCAGTTTCATTGATGGATACAGGTACAAATAGTGATGGGGTCTTATCTTTACTTATCTTAACATAAAAGTTTACTAAATTGTTTATGTAATTACATTGAAAATAGCAAAACTTAGTATTGAAATCTAGTAATTTTTTTGTCTGTTCAGAGCTTGTTTGGGTGTTTTTTACAATTTTAGTAAAGGGTTTATATTTTTTCCCCATGTAATATCAAACAAATTTGTAAATTACATAGAATCTTAAATATTATATTTTTACCTGTGTTTAAGCCACTGAGAGCTCTCAGTATGCTTTACATATGAGCAATAATATGAGATTTAAGCATGATCATGATTTGAACCCCTGTTTCTTCACAGTTTTTCTGCTTAAAATATAGAAATAAGAAATTATTAGAATATAGAAATAAAATATAGAAATAAGATACAGGAGATACACTCTGTGTGTCAAGGTGATAACCTATGGTTTTGGAACACTGCCTACGACTTGACCTGGCCACCAAAATACTTTTGTATATAAACAGATGTGCAGCCCCACTGACATCTTCATGACAACATGGAGCAATACGCCCTCAGCTGACTTAAAGCAGCCGGTTGAAAAAGACATGAAAGGGAAATGGCATCATTTGCCTATCTTTCCATAGTGTAGGTGTGCCTAAGTATCCATATCTACAGAGTGAATTTTCTGAGCCTCAGCTCATAATTAAAAATAAACTTCATCTCCACTATCACGCACAAAGGTATTGCTGTTGCTTGAAAGATGCAAAAGTAACACAAACTGTTCATCATCTTATACAGCTGTTGATCCAATCTTTTAACATTTTGGTGGTAGCTTTCCCTAGTAGAATATTAGGACCTAGAAATTCACACTCAATTCCCATATTTTCTTCCTGCTTTACTTTTGCTGGAGGCATCAGACTGTTGAAATGAAGTTAATAAAGAAACTGCTCAATGCTATAATTCCTAAACCTAATAGATTGTTAGACAGTTATTTCTATAAAATGAACCAGCACAACTAAGTGTTTCTTAAGTGCTTTTTACAGCACACAAAATTGAGCAATTAGGGTTGCATTAAAATTTAAATAATAATGATAAAGTCATACATCATAATAGTAACGGAGTAATTTTCCTCTCAAAGTTCTAAAAATAAAAAGACATAGTTTGATTAAACAATTATAATAAGTTTTTAATATGCTCATTATTAACAGTATATACATTTTCTCTCCAGATAATGTTTTCATATAAGCAAAGAACATGAGTATAAATCCACTTTTTTGCTTAAAATAATACTCTTAATCTACTTTTTTTTTTTTTTTTTTTTTTTTAACATAGACAGCAAAAAGCTTACATAGCTACACAGGGTCCTTTAGCAGAAACAACTGAAGACTTCTGGAGAATGCTCTGGGAGCATAACTCTACAATTGTGGTCATGCTCACTAAACTACGAGAAATGGGCAGAGTAAGTACTGCTCTAATATTCCTTTACTAAATTGCTGGTTACAACAGCTCTTTTCATTAAAATATTTCATTCTTAGGGATATCTAAAGATGAGGATTTTGGTTCCTTCTCCTTTTGAAATAGGAGTGGCCTTCCCGGTGTAAGTTTTTCCAATCTGTTGATGTGTTGCAATGGACAAACTGAACATGATGTGTTTTTGTGGGACACGCTGAGATTCAGCAAGAGAGACCATTGCTGTCTACTGAAAAAGAAAGATCTCTAATTTGGAAACATCACTTTTGCAGCATCTCCTTGTAAAAATGTTAAAAGAAAGTGTGGTATTTTTTAGGTCCAAACGTCTTCTTTGTGTTTTGTGCTGTACATTAAAGTTTCATCCCCCAGTTTACAGTTCTAAACTCATTTCATTGGTACTCTATCTCCTGGAAGAAACAAAGCAGTCTACTTTCCGGACAGGATTACATCAAGAGAAAGCTGGCATATGATGAGTGAAATCTGAGTTAGGCCATGTGTCTGATAGAAAAGAGATTATTCAGGACATGGCTAGTGGATGCTGAGATAGAGTTGTGACTGAGGCTGGGGGGACTTGCTCCAACAAGCAAAAAGGAAGAAAACTGAATGTGGTATCAAGATTTAAATTGAGATAAAAATTCACCATTGAAAATTAGATTAAGGATAGCTCTTGTCACTGATAGACAATAAAACTGAGCAGAAATATAAGCAAGTTCAGATATACGGCAATATTTTACTCTTCACCAAAACAAGCAGCTCACATTCCTGTCACTATTGGCACTCTCCACGAATATTATACTTAGCTGAATAAAAAAGGCTTTATACCAGTTTGTGGTAGTGTTCTCAAGTAATAGAAAATGTAATTTGCTTTGTTATTTCATAGGAAAAATGCCATCAGTACTGGCCTGCAGAGCGCTCAGCCAGATATCAGTATTTTGTGGTAGATCCAATGGCAGAGTACAACATGCCACAGTATATTCTGAGGGAATTCAAGGTTACAGATGCAAGGGTAAGTCAATATAGCATTACATTTGTTCCCACAAGTTTAAAAGAAAATGTCTATGTCTTTCTTTTTTCTATGTTTGGGGTTTTTAGAATTTTTATTATTATTAAGAAAACTGTAGAGATATATTTTCTACAAGCAATAATAAGAAATCAGATGAAGTTATTTTTAAATAAATAGGATCTTTCCTTAGGAATGATTGACTTTATTCAGATCTAGCATCTGGGCAGCACAGTTTTATAGTTCTGAACTATTTGTGTCAAAATACATTAGATTATTTGAGGACTCTTTACTCATTTTTCTCATTTTCCCCTTGACCATTATTGGGTACAATTTTTGCAACATAGAGTGTTGTTTTGTTGTTTTGCACCACCCTTTAGGGTGAGTGAGTATGAAGGCTAATTTTCTGAGATTTTAAAACTGCAGAGCAAATGACATTCATAAGAAAAGCTGGACAAGCTTTGCACATTATAATTTGATTTTTCATGTAGCATATTTTTAGCTCTCTAGTGTATCTGCAGAGTAGATACATGCAGCTGTGACCTTAGCATCCTCATTTTCATACTTCATTCCTTATCTGAATTCCTGAGTCCAAAACTGAGTACTCATATAAGAGTAAACATATATATATATATTTGGCATTTCTCAGACTTGATTTTTAACACTTTAGTCTGTGTGGCAGGAAAACATACTGTCAGCCTCTTTTTCTGTAGACACTGTGGAATAATACTTGTTCAAACAAAATAGCAGAATGTAATGTCCAGGAATAATATGAGTAGCTACTCAGAACTGCCTGTCAGCATCTGAAATATTAGACTTCCTTATGGTTAGCTAGACCACTGCTTTTAATGTGAACTTCAAGTAAAACTGGATAGTATTGTTAGTATTGTATCAAGTCATCATATGAACCTTTTGTTTGGCAAATGAGATTCAGGTGTAGATTTTTGTAAAGGGTCTGTAGATACATTAGATCTGATTTAAATTCTATTTGAAATGTAGTAAGAATCATATAGACTCATTATCTTCTCTAGCCTATTTGTGCTTAAGAAAAGTGGAGAACAGGCTCCTAGCATCAGTCTTTAGACCCACTTGCAAGCAGAGATAGTTAAATCCAATTTCACTGCAAATATCCTGATAGTTTTAATTGATTTTCTATAAAAAATCTGTCTCAGGTTGGAAGAGATGTGTCATAGTTCACAAAGCTCTGATCACAAAATTACAATTATAACAAAAAGCCATAGCTATAACCAAAGTATCCTCAAATATTATATATTTTAAGAAAAGCCCTTTCAAGACTTTGTATTGAAGTAGAATATTTAAGAAAGTGTGCTTACCTACAGCTCTCAAACCAGTAAAGGGGAAAATAATTAAATCATTAAATTTACCAGAACTAATTTTATTTGACGTGATATTAATAAACATCTTTTGGAAAGCATTAAGCACATTGGAAGTCCTGATATAACACTGTACTATCACATGATGTTACTTCTCAAATATTAAAAATCTGTTTATCTTGATGGTCCAAATTTTGTTAAACTCCTTAGCGAGCTGACCGCACTTTCCTAAATTTTCTAGTTATGCTGGAAAACTGGTAACTCCTTTCAAATTTACTGGAAGAAATGGGAAATACTTACAGAAAGATACATAATAGTTTTCTTCTAGTTAGGCTTTTGTGGCTGTCACACCCAGAAATTGAAATAGTTTGACTAAATTGTTGCACTCAAAGAAGACTAAATGCTGGAGTGATTGCAAATGTCCTCTCTCCCTTTCGTCTCCAAATCCATCTGTACTGTTACAATATCATCCATACTCTGGCAGAGTGAGGATGAGCAGTTATTCCACAGGGACAAAAAATGAGGCACTGTACCTGTGTAGGCACCAGCAACAAGTGTCTGGTGTGGAGCTCTCTTTTATTTCTGAACCTGAACTGTGAGTTGTCGTCAGGTGAAATTGACCTCTGTAACTGTTTCAAGTTATTGCTTCTAATTGCTTTGTACTCACTTTCTCTGGAAACTCAAGCGGTTAGTATATTAGGCCAGTCTTATTTAAGGCTAAACTATTAATGATGGCTGTAAGAGAGTATTATCAATTCTAAAGTGTAATCAAAAGACAATTGAATATCCCCCGTGAGGAGGAAGAATAAATCCAAACGGTCAGCCACTAAATAGGATAAAACATTAAAAGCCCACTGTGCCACACAGGGATCTGAAAGTACTTATTTTGATAACTAACGGTGCAAACTGTCACAGTATTTGAAAGTAAAGATTTTAATAAAATTTGGCATTTGTATCTGGACTACTGTTGCCAAGAATCTCATTAAAAGAAATCAACACTTTATAATGTCAGTAGCAGAGGGAGCTGTAAGAAATTGTAGATCAGTTCCAAAGATGCTTTAATGCTAGTCAAACACAGACTAAGTAACTTTAATTCTCTGCTCATTAAATAACAGAGTTTATTGTCATTTCACAGACTTGCATTGGAATACTGAGTTACTGAAATCATGAAACATACTAATAAAGTTGATACATACACACCAAAAAATAAATCTTTACCATTCTATTTATGAAGAGAAATGTGTTAAATTTCCAGTCCAGACAGACTGGACTTAAATACATTAGTGTCTTCCTTACTTACTCTACATGGAAAAAGTTACTGTTATTTAGTGTAAGTCCTATCAGGGTCAGAAACTGCTGAAGGCTTTCCATCAACTTAACAGCATGTTGCAAGTCAGATTTCAGGTTTTCTTTCTTTACTTTAAAAGAATGGAAAGTTATTTTGAAGGGAATGAACCTGTATTTATGCCTTCTTGATAAATTTTTATCATCTGCCTAAGGCTATCTGGATGGTGCAATATCATTATGTTTTTTTGGAGAAAAATGGGATTACAGAAACCATTATCAGAGATGTTTGTATTAACAAAATACCATTTTGGAAGTAAACATTTAGTTCTTTGTGTTAATGCCCACGAGAAATCCAATTGGGTGAAAACTTTACATATTTGTTGGAGAAAAGTGTTTTACAGATACAGGCCACTAAGTTGTCACAGTGGTCTAGTGGAAGTACACAGGATGAGTGTCCTCTCATGGAGTAGTTGCTGGTACGCACGCACATTTTTTTCTGTTTTCCTCACTCATCTGAGACACAGGAGGCAAAATCCCACAGAACCTGAGGAAACTATTATGGTTTCCTTTGGTTATATTTAAGATCACTTCTATATAAATTCAAAGGTCTGTAACAGCTGAATTCTTGTGGTCTAAAGAAAAAGAGACAAAGATTGTTCTTGCCTCTGGCATAACTTGCTGCTTTTTGATGGGAATCTCCAGTAATAATGTTAATTTTTCATGAGTTTTACTTCAAAGAAAGTTCAATTTTTCATGAGTTTCACTTAATAGAAGACCATTTTGAAGACATGACAGGGTAGATGCTTAGAAAACATGATGTCTAGAGGCACTAGTTAACATCAGTAACTCATATTGCCATGATTTTGAACATTACAGTTGTGCAGATTGACAGTGTCAAAATAATCAATGTTTGAAAATGCAGAACAAATTTGCTTTATTCATTTGTATTACATTTTTCTGTGTCCTGACTTTTTACATGTTAAATAGGCAGATAGCACAAGTTGGCATTTAGTAATTCCAATATCTTCATTATAACAATAACTATGATGCTGTATTCTACACTTTAAAAAAATACTGTTCGTGTTCCTAACCACAGGAATTGAGAAGTTTCAATAGGCTTGTTTAGAGAAAGGAAGCCCTTCCTCTCAATTTTAACTAACTCCAAGATGTTACTGAATTAAATAAACCATTACTGAAGGGAAATTTGTTAAACAACTGGCTTGTTTATCCATCTCCTTCCAGGAAAAGTGTTCACCTTATAGAAAGCAGCTTACTATTGAAGATAACATCTGCAAGGAGGGCAATGACTAAACAAGTCTTATCAGTAAAGATATTTCTGCTGTGAAGTAGTTGAGCATATCTCAGAAAGTCAGATTAGATGACCTTATTCTACCTGATCTGTATGTAAAGGAATTTGTAGTCCACAGGATTAAAAACATAACATACCAAGAAAGTGATATACTTTGGTGGGGTATATTCAATTATATATGAATATTATATATATTCGGCTGCATATGTCTGTTATACCTTTGGCCTCAGTCACACTTTTTACACTATTAGAATGCCAGACAACTCTCCTATGTAGTGTGAACGAGGATCCGTGACATATTGTCAATGAAACGCCTCATAATACTTCTGGGCTGATACAAAAACTTCGATAGTATTACTGCAGTTAAAAGAGTTTCCATAAATGTAATCTGAGCCATTCCCCAACTCCTCTCAACATCCTTACTTTGTGATTGTCTTTATGATTATTTGCCGACCAACTTTAAGCCACAGCAATGATGCTTCATTTGTGTCTTTTATTAAAGGATGGTCAGTCCCGAACAGTGAGGCAGTTCCAGTTCACTGACTGGCCAGAACAAGGAGTCCCAAAGTCTGGAGAAGGATTTATTGATTTCATAGGCCAAGTGCATAAAACAAAAGAGCAATTTGGTCAGGATGGACCAATTTCTGTTCATTGCAGGTAAGTAAAAAAAGCTTAAAAACAAATTATATGTAGATTTGGTTTTTTTCTAAAGTTGATTGCTGATTGTGGTGAATGTGTGTATTTAAACAACATTTCATAGGTGAACTGTTACATAATGTAATCAGAGGATCTAAAATGGAACAGCATGAACTGCTTTATGAAATGGGGACTGTTCTGTGATATTCCATTTATACAGAAGTAATTCTTCAGAAATATGTGGAAACACATGATTTTTTCACTTATAAATGCCTCTAATAGAGCATAAAAGCAGTCAGTACTGCACACAGAAGGCACAGGAAGAGCCTTATCACAGGCTGCTACATCTGATATTTTTTTAACTAGAAATTAAGAGTGAGGCTTTTTCTTTGGTGGGAATTATTAGCTGCAAACAAGCTAGCTACACCTTAGTGGCACATTAGTAGCAATCAAGATGAGGAAAAAAAAAAAAGGTAGTTATCTCAAAAAAGGGAATGGGATAGGAAGTGTTATTTAGAATTTTTGTCTGTCAAAGAAATCATTGAGGTTTGAGTTGATGAGTTCCAGCTTCAGAATTTAGTGCTCATTTTTGATGTGATGACTACCCTCAATTCCTTTGCAATTGATATGCAGATGAAAATGGCTTGCATGGTGGTTAGAAATAATCCAGCATGGGCTTTTTAATATTCTTGTATTTTTTATTTATTTCTTCTGCAGTATTCTAGAGTTTATAGCAGATGGCCAAAAATAATATCTTTATCTCTTATCTCTTATTAAATAAATTGTTTTCTATAAATGCCATTAGGATTTTAGATACTCATTTTTGTAATATGAAATTATTTTTGTAGATTAAATATTATTATTTATATAACAGAGATGCAAAATACTGACACAAGTTGCAAGTCCTTACAGAAAGCCAAGTAGTGCCCTAATACTATGATGAAGAAAAATGAATGAGTTTACTAGAGCCTAGTAAAGAGAGGGAGAGCAATTTTCATCTTTCCAAAGTCGGATGAACAGACGTTGAGTTCTTTATGATCCTGTAATCTGAAAGACAGACAAAATAAATGCATTGGAATACTTGAATCCTACTTTTCTTGTGTGCCTAAAATTTTTTATAGGCTGCTAAGGAGAATAGCATTGCAGAGCACTGATTGGGATTCATTACACAAGGGAGATGAAGAACAACCCAGATAAGAATAAGCCTTATTCTTCAACATTAATGAGTTTTGAGAGGACAGGAGTAATAAGCAATATTTATGCCTTTATGCAGATAAGAAAGCAAAGTGGTATTTTTCTTCTAGGTTCTTTGTACCATGTAGACTTGTCCACTTGTGACTACAGTGAGTGCTGCTTACAGTACATTATATATCCCTCTCAAATGGATGCGATCTTTCATGGTAAAATTATGGACTTTTATCATTGACTTTGCTAGAAACAAAGTCAAATGCAGTGTAACTAATCATGGCTTGGTTTTTAAATGTCTTTATCATTATTGTAATGACTATTTAGGGACTGGTAATGCTAATCATCATTGCCAGTGTTAGTCAACTTAAATGAATAGGAAGTGTCCCTAGCAAATTAGTACATTTGTTTATTTCTTTCAGGAAAAAACACAAGATCCTGGATACCTATGCTTTCCTAGTCTCTGAGGGATTGTTGAAATAATGCCTCCAGTTTGTATCATGATGAGTTTTACAGTGAATTAAAACTCCTCTAGTGTCACTTCCTTTGGGTCTTCTTTACACTCTATACAATTTTCACAAGCTTGCTTTATCTGTTACACAGTAAACCCTCACTACTCACAATTCTAAATTTTTTTTTCCAAAGCATTTTTACAAATAGGTCAGTGTGTTGAATTAAAAAATTTCTAGCCTCATGAGGCAGATACTTAAAACTATTTAAGAGAGCAAAGGGCTATTCACCTTGAAGCAAACTTTTCACTTAAACAAATATTAGATATTTATAGTCTTTTTATTCCAGCTTTTAGCTCAAGACTGAGGAAGATCTTTTCCAGAATGCAGTCAAGATATATTTGTAATAATAAACTCTTCTCTCTTTGAAAAAAATCAATATATCCACATAATTCATTAAAGCATCTCAACTTTAGTTTCTAATCCAAATTATAAACCATGGGGAGTCATAATGCATCATGAAGGATTTCTTTACTCTAGAAATCCTAAGCATTTTTGGATAAGAATTGTTCCAATGTTAAAGTATGTTTGCCACATTAAGAGGAACAGGATCAATTTCCTACAGGCTTTTCTCAAGACATTACACTTAATGATGAATTAGGATTTGCAAGCATTGAGATATTTCCATATTATTCTCTCCTCCTCATTAAGTCTTCTGGAGACACTTGCTGATTTTTAAGTACCCAAGACAACAAATAAATTTCTTCCTTTTGCTTGAGATTTCTGAGTAATTTTTTTAAAGTAACAAAGATTTGTCTAATGTATGACGTCAGAAATCCACTCACACATTTAGATTTTTTTTTTTTTAAATATTCAAATGGCAGAGCAGGAAAATGTAAAATGGTAGTCTGCCTTCATTCTTCTGGTCATTTTCTGGACTACTTAGATCACACTAAGGTCAGTGTGTCACTTAGTTTAGATCACAGGAAGGTCATCATGTCTGTTCAAGCTCATTCCAACAAGCAGGTTCCAGGATTTTTCAGGATGTTTCTTAAGTACTAGCTGCCTAATTTACCTCATCAGGTACCTTACACTACAACTGCTTCAGATGTCCAGGACTGTTGTTACACCATATAGGTAAATCACCACTGACAACATGATACTCTGTCAAGTGGCGTGTCAGTTGTCCTTTGGCTTCAGCAATCTGAAGGCCCACAGTCCATGCAAAATTGATAAATTAATTGCATATGTCTAATAGCCCTAGAAGAGCTCTGACCTAGACCAAACACTAAAATACCCTCATACAAATTGAACATTCAATTTCTGCATTAGTTTTGTGAATTTGCTGGTTTCTGTCATAGTTCATATGAACATTCAAGAGTCCTTCAGGATTTCCCTGTTGTTCATGCTGTTCCATTCATCTGTCTGGTGAATAGTTTCATAAATATTCAGCTTTCCAAGGTTATCTGGCTAGAGAAAACCTTGTGAAATTATTAGATCAACAGTGAGATGACGAGGTGCTTGGTTTCCATCCATAGAAGTTTCGTACATAGGAAGTTTTCTGTGTAGTTACCTGTCTCTTCTGCAAAAGATAATCCTCATGAATAAGTGATTGTTTAATTTTAAAAGCTGACAGCTATTGGCTTTACTGATGGCGAGAATTTCCATCACTTCTTGAGGGTTAAAGCTAATAGCAGAAACCCAGGACAGAACAGAGAGCAAACAAACCACAGATATACTCAAAGAAGATTTTTGAGACTAATGTAGACAAACATGGTAAAAGTAAAGATCCAAACTGCCAGACTTGAATAAGACCTGAATGGAAATTTTTCTCTGTCCATTATTTGAATTGGAGCATGTATGAACAAGTTCAATATTAAATGAACATCCATACTTCTAACTTTAAGTAGAAGGTAAAATAACACAGTGAAGATGCACAAAACAGGGCATATACATGACAAACTAAAGTTAAGCAAGCACTAAAATGCATTTTGGCTTCATTTTCTCTTGTCAGTATCAATGTTGGTTATTGGCAACAAATGTTAATATTTGCTTTCACCATGCATTCATTATTGTATATCTGGATGAGCAAACTATGTCACTTTGCAGGGAAGACTGGAGAGTCTGGAGAGTACTCAGTAGATGTAAGGTTAGCTTGAGTGCAGTTATTCTTTTGAATGCAATGTGGTAATTTGCTGTGGAATTTTGCTTAACAAGCCTTTCTCTATATAGAAATTTATACACATATGGTGTGTTGTAACCACAAAGAATTTGTCAGCCAATTCTTTCAGCATTAACTGTCAATTAACATTTGTTTTTTTTCCTTTTATTTTATCTTTATTTTCTTCAACAGTGCGGGTGTTGGAAGGACTGGAGTATTCATAACCCTGAGTATTGTGTTAGAAAGAATGAGATATGAAGGTGTTGTAGACATCTTCCAGACTGTCAAAATGTTAAGGACACAGCGGCCAGCCATGGTACAGACAGAGGTGAGGAAAACAGTATCCTTATGCAATGGTGATGGAAAAGAAGTGGTATTTACACAAGCAAAAATGTGCACAGTTAGAGACTGTGTAAAACATGTTTACAGTTGTATCTGAAGCCATATATTGGCCCTGTGACTACAGGGTAAAATCTGCCATGAAGGTATTGCAAGGACAATTTCCTGTTATTGCAGTAGTTACTGCAAGATCAGGAATTAAAAAAAAAATCATTTCCATAGTGGATCCTAAGTTACGGTAGTTAAGAAAATCAATTTGTGAATCATCACACATTTTTATTTCATCCTTGTTCCCTGTCAGAAATGTGTGGTATTAAAGAAGCAGGCAAATTGTTTCTGCAGGTGGATACACTGACTTTTTTTTCCCCTGGGAGCAATGTCTCAATTTTGTCTGCGGACTGACGCTGTATTATTTTCATGTTTTTTTGTATCACTAAGCAAATGGCTCTTTGGCCTGAAAATCATAATGGTAAATTCAGCATTCAGGATAACTATAGTGTAAATAATTTCTATGCTATTAGGTGTGGCATAGAGTAATAAAGAAAGTGATAAGGTGTATAGACCAGTTACCTGGGCCTGTAAGCTTGGAAATCTGTCATGTCATAAAGAATGCTTAAACATTATCAGTTAATGTGCTTAATTTTTGCCTTAATTTCTGAGCAGAAGACCTGGACTAAGCCAGAGTCAATAGGTTAGGAGAACCAACAAAAAGGGCAAGAGCAGGGAAACATTTTAGATCACACATTTATTTAGTATAATTTGATTGACACTGGCCTTTAAATCAAGTCCATGAAATTTAAGATGGTTCCCCAAAGTTTGCTATTTTCCACAAAAAAAAATTAAACTTGTTCAGTAGAAGCTAGGTAGTTTTACTCCTAAGAAGACTTCATAAAAGCTTATAGGAAAAATACAGATATTTATTTTTAATCTTGTCAGTTAGCCAAGTAAATCACTGTGACCATACCGGAGAGTTAATTCCATTTCTTTTCCATTACCATCATTCTTCTGGATAAGCAAAATGAAAAATGACTGCTTTCTGTCATTTTTGCTCAAAGAAATAACTAAAGTATACAGAAAACTATCTTGTTTGAGCCTACCTGACAAATGCAGAGTTCAATTCTGCAATATATGTTCCCTCCCCCTGCTTTGACTTATTTCTGTATGCTACCCTTCATTCCCACTGCTGAAAGCAAAGGTGTTCTGTGGCAAACAAATCTCTCATTCAGTGTTATAAACTGCCAGGAAATCTAATCCTTATTAAACAAAGAACTTCCATGTGGACCACACATACACTTAAAATTCAGACATATGTGTAATGTATTCTGCCACTTTTCTAACTATTCCAACAGAAATGAACTATGAGTAATCATACCACCTCAGTGAAGCAAATATCTGATTAGCTTCCTGGCCTCGGAAAGAATTTTAATTGTGATCTTAACTGCAACCTATGCAGTTACCACATAGCACTATCAGAAAAATAAAAAGACATCCCTGGTATTTTTGAGCTATTTATTTTATGGTTTTTTATTTTATTTTTTACTTTTTACCATTTAAACAAAGAATGACAGTTGGAAATAAATACGTAGATGTGCCATTTTTGTGTAAGTGTGCAACATGGCATAAATGTACAAAAGGACTGCTTTATGGAGGTGAGAATAACACAAAATTACAAATGTTGGATTCATCTGAGGTATGAGAAAATTTCTCACCACACTAAACTTCTGTCTGCTTCTATGTATAGGTTGAAATGTAGTCTATTTTATGTGAATAAGGTCCTTTAGCTCCATTTATCTCCTTAGGTCCTTTTCTTGCCACAGGCCAAGGTATCTTCACATCTTCATCAAAGCCTTTATTACTGAAAGGTTGGGATTCCCGTTGCCTTCTTTACATGATTTTTAACCTGATGGTTTTCCATACAGAATTCCATATTCAAGCTGTGACGGACCTTTTTACTTAGTGTGTTGTATTGGCTGTAGAATTAATTGTTTATTTTGCTAGTTATTTTCTAATACGTGGGGGGAAAGCATCCTAGCATGTTCCTATCAGAAGAAAGCTTTATGTTGATATTGTTTTAATCCAGAATAACAGACTCTCAGTAGGTGGGTATATAGTCTCTGCACAAAATGAATCTGCATTCTGTGGAAAATGTTGTTGCATTAAATGAGTGTCTATCTTCATCTGTTGTAACTCAGAGTGATTTTCTGTTGGTGTCAGCAAGTGAATATTGCTGAACTGCAGATGCCTCTGCAGTATATTTGTTTGTAGCTACAAAATATTCACTAGTATTTGAAAGAAAGTAGAAACCAATCAACAAGCTGACTTTTTGACGCATTTGTTTTCTATTTTTCTTTCTCTAGGATCAATACCAGTTCTGCTATCGAGCCGCACTGGAGTATCTGGGCAGCTTTGATCACTATGCAACATAAAAACCCATTGTGGATTTTTATTGCAGGCCCTTTAAGATCCAGAGAGCCGCTTCTGAGCCATACAATGTGCTTTAGAAGTACTTCTTAACTCTTAGCTAAGGAGCAATTATTGGGGATATATAAAATAAAAAATAATTAAAAAAAAAAACAAAAAACAAATGAACAAAGTATTGGGGATATATAAAACAAAAAAACAACAAAAAAAAACCCCACCCAACAAGAAGTATTCCATGTGGACCAAGAATTCACAGTTTAATAACCTAACCATAATAAAAGAATCCTGACCACTGAGGCGTCTGAAGGATCTCATTTACAGATACCTCAAGGGTTCGACATTGGTTGAAGTTAAAGGGAAGAGGAAATTTAATCAGAAAGAGTGATCATCTTATTCAGGATTACATTATTTTGCAAAGAGGAGTTTTGAGAACTGCAGTTCAGTGCAAGATGTTTGTGGCAAGGTTGGGTTCTGGCTTCTCAAACAAAGCGGACTCTTTACTTCAACATCACCGTTTCCCATAATACTGCTCATCATAACACTTAAGGGAAAATGTGGGAATGTTTAAAAAGAAAGTCCTTGACTTAGTTTTTTAGTATTGTAAAGATACTGCTGACCTGTGCTTCATTTTTAACTGTGTAAACTTTTTCCTTTTTTTAACAAGAGTTTATCATTCAATGAAGTGAATTAAAGAAAAGGTTGCATAACTGTTAATATTTTTGTTTAAAAATGTAGATTTTTTTTTAAGCTGTAGAACTGTTATCTGTACTATTGTGCTGTAGAAATGTTAGATACTTTGAAAATTTGCACATTTTTGTGCAGTCCTACAGTACCACAGTCTTGTTAGATATGAATTTTGTAGCTTTATTTGGGTTATTTTCCTTTAAGAAAATATTCATTGTAATCAGTTACATCAAAATGGGGCTTTTGGTTTATTTTGGAATCAACAGGGAGGCGCAAAGTATAAAGATGCTGCTAGCACATACACACACACACACACATATGCACATGCACACTCACACCCTCTCTTTTTTATATATATATATGTATTACTGTCTACCCTTTTTTGACTCTCTGTATAGTTGCAGAGAATACAGATGGATTCAGATACAGTTTCACACACATGCACATAAACATATCAATCCTTACATACCTGGATTTATGAATGCATTGGGAAAGTTTTTCCACATACTACAATTATATCAAACTACAATTTGATCATCCCTGCATTTTTAAGATCCATAAACTTCTGTTTCAAAGGGAAGTGAGGAATGCACATCATTGATATTTGAATGCCATCTCTATCCCAAATAATATTTCTATCCACATTTCCACTTGAACACACACACATATGCACACATGCGGAGCACACACATGCACACACGCACACAGAGTATGTGATTTAGGCTTCAAGTGAAGTTCAATATTTGTAACACTATAGTGCAATAAGAAATCATATTATTAAATGTAGGAGGTGTGCATGTGGGAAAGGTCAGTGCATATCCCTTTAGGAGGGGAGAATGTTGTAATATACTAGGTATTAAGATGTTTTAAAATTGTATTCAATAGTATACTGTCTATAGTGTGCGCTATATAATTTACATTTATCGTATGTAACAGGGCAAAGCCAAACACACATTGCTCTGTGAAATCAAACATTTTGTGGCATATAGCATTGTTTGGGGATGCTGGGGTTTATTTTAATTTTACATTTAGAGTGCCTTATATTTGATGCCTATTTTGAATAGTATTTCTTTTAGTTAGCCTTCATTTGTATTTAGTTTAGTTTGTTTATATCTCTGTTGTTCTTTTCAAACATTTTAATACATGTACCAGACAGTTTTGAAAAATATGCATTTCCAGTTTCTAATCAAGTATGGATGGTAATAAATGATAACCCAAAACACATAGGTAGTCAAGGCCCTTTATCTTTCCATCTTTCTAATAACAGAATAACCTACAAATTGGAAATCTATTTCTGGTTGGCTTTTCAAACCCACTGTGTCACTGGTTAGTGTTATCTGTCATTGCCAAGCTGTAGCAGCAGAGTAGCAGTAGTTGACATCAGCAGTGCTTCTGCATCTTCTTTTTTTTTTTCTTTTTTTCCTTTTCCTTTTTCTGTTTCTCTTTTTTTTTTTTTTTTTTTTTTTTTTAATTTATATCTGGCCAAGTCCTGCTCATTCACTTGTGTCAACAGATTGCTAAAGTCAAACCCTTGCTCTCAGTGGGAAGGTTCATAGGTTTATGCAAGGCTAGCAAGAATGAGCCCACATGACATATTGGAGATTGACAGATTTTATTCCAGGAAAAATGAAAATTCTCTAAACAGCACAAAGTACTTTTTGAGACTCTTTCTAGAATGCCATTTACATTGACCTTGGTCACCATGTGTTCTGCCATTGTTAGTACATCAGGATCAAAGGATGCTTTCTTTGGGGTTTCAAATAGGAGCATTGCTGTGGCTTCTCCATGTGGCCTCAACATTTTTAGTTCTTCTTCCAATTTTCCCACTCCTATGAGAAATAAAAATAAGAAAGACCAAACTCCAGCAATTGTATTTGAGCACTTTTATAATGAAAAAAAACCCAAACCAAAAAAATCAAAACAGAAATATAACTATAACTATAACTGTAACTATAACTATAACTATAACTATATATATATATATATATATATATATATATATATATATATATATGGAATAGAAGTATTATAGAAGGCTACCTCAGAATGAGATTCTATAACTTACATCTGAACCAGAGAAGAATGTGCACTGTGTTTGTTTCTTTTCTTCTTTCTTGGTTTATATGTTGAAATAATTATTGAAATGCCAGGTTATGTAGTGTGGTCATGTTCTTCAACTTAAATACAGGAAATCAGAAATAGAAAAAGAAAACAAAGTGTCATTTTGAAAACATAGACTAAGGTATGTTCCTGCACACTGAATCTGTACAAAGATCAGTGCATTTTCCATAGCAGACTGTCTTGAAAACTCCAACAAAAATAAGGGAATTAAAGAAATACAAAAGCAGAGCCAGTTTGTGAGAAAAAGTGTTGTACAACTGAGTACTTCTTTCAGGGTTTTGTTTCTTATGATAGGTCTTAGCATCATTGATGTGCATTCCACTTTCTGTATTCTAATATATGCATCTACATTTAATTTAAATTGTGAGCATCTTTGTCTACATACATCATACATTTCCAAGCTTAAAATTGGTTTCATCAGCATAACCAGTACGGTGCTATTATTTATGTTTCTATGTGTAGTTATGTCTAATTTTGTAATTAGTTGCAATGGGAAAAAAAACCCACAAAATATATAAAAAATGATTTATACAAAACTTTAATTTAGCTCTTTTTAAAAAATTTATTTGAGTGGTTAGATAGTGGAGAAGATGGCTGGGGAAAGGAGTGACCTTCTAAGGAGATTTGCACTTTCTATATATACCTTTGTACTATGCACTGCCCTATTGATTCTACACCCAATAATAATTTGAACCCATCTGTAAGAAATTGCCTACAAAATCCACTTGTATGTATTTAAAAGACACAGAACATGTAAAGAAAAAGCAGCTGCTTTTTTTTCCTTTTGTTCTCTCCCATTTTTATTTATGTTTCTTTTTCTTCTTTTTTTTTTTTTTTTTTTTTCCCTTGGTGCCCTGATACTCCACAGATATCAGAAGGCTGCAGGTCTCATTATAACCATCCGTTATGTGGCTTTGCCATTCAAGCTTGGAGTGTCTTTACAAAGATAATAAAAACTTGTGTTCTTTGCTCTTGTTTTGGATGCATAGACTGAAAAACTTTAAAAATTTACCTTGTAAAATGGCTTGTTAAAAAAGATACAATTACCTCTAATTAGTAGTACGCGTAAATGTTTTACAGAATGAAAGGCGTGCTTTTTATTTTCTTACTTCGTTACATTGGTGGCAAAAGGAAGTCTGTATGAAAATCAGTTCTTTGCTGACACAAGTTCCATTTGTTACAGATGAATTCTAATAAAATGTCAGTGTTATGCAGCCCTGGTCTTCTTTCTTAAGCAGTACTTTTGAAATCAAAACTTGTTTGGTCCCTCTTGGTGATAAAGGAGTTTAATTGAAACTACAAAGCAGTCATTAATCTTCTTAACTAGCTGCTGGACAGTGGAAAATGCATTCTTAGGTTAGCAAATATATATCATCTTCAGCAGCAAGCTTTGAGCCAGCACAGACAAACCCTTTGGCATAATTTCTCATAGTTTCATGAGCTTAATTGAAATTACCACACTTTACATGCCTCTGGAGTTCCCCTTTGTGCTTTAGAAATGTATCACTACACTGAGAAAATAGATTCCACTCCATTCATAGGTGCAACTCAAAGAGGGTAAAATATCCACACATTTGAGGTAAATTGTAAATTTTTAATTTCTCCAGATTTGGCAGCTTCTGGGGTAAATCCAAAGTCACTTGTCAGAATTCAGTCCCTGAAACTGTGGCAAGCTGTCATGAGTTTTGACTGATTTCTGTTATGCACTGCATATGCAGTGAGTGCAAATGTGAATCTGTGAGGCTACTATCAAAATACTATGGTAGAGTTTTTAAACACGTTGGAAAAGTTTTAGATTAATAAACACACCAGATGTATCGAGGCAAGCTACAAGGGGCATGGCATGGCAATCTATTCAAAGAAAACAAGTCTTGCTCTGTCTGCTTGTTTTGAAAGAAGGCAGGTTCTGTCTCCAAGATTACTTTGTAAGGGAATACAGTCTATTAGCAATTAGTATTAAGTAAATGTTAATATAGAATTCTCTGTGCTGGAAGGATGTGCAAGACATTAACATTAGGGTGATTTCTAAGAACCTGTATTGTTCTTGGCATAATTTCCACTTGAAGATGGTGATAATAGTGTAAATGTGAAGCCTTGGTATTCTTACAGAGGCCTATTAATGTTTTTCCACTGACTTCTGTGGATTTTACAATTACTGCATTGCAGGCTGCCTTTGACTTGAACCTTTTTTGCATAGTCTGTGCAAGGTGGTTTAGAGCTGTGTTATGTAAGGGTTTCTTTAACTATCTGAGTGGCTTTAGATGGTACCCTTTAATGTCAGCATTGACTTCTTTGGATTTTCCTGTTCTGTGCGTCTAGCATGGACCATAATAAAGTGTGAAAATGAGTATTGACAAAAATATTTGGCTGTGTATGGCTTAATAACTTCTAAGTTAATGGGGTTTTAACAAAAGTTCTAATTCATGATTAACACGGAAAAAAGATGCCATGTACTTCGAGATCATTACTGTTAAGAAATGCTGTTGAGATGTGAAATTAACCTATCTCAAAGCAAAGCAATAGCTACAGACTTTCAAACAAACTAATATTTACATCTTTTCTATATTATCTAATCACTTGGACCAAATTCTAAATTTCGCAGAATCTTTAGTGTTCATTAGTATCTCTCCAAATGGGTCAGTCCTAATTCTAAACTAATAAGTGATTACCATCTATAAATTTACCCATTGCCTCCTTTTCCCAGTCTGTGCAGATGGAAGTGGGACAGAAGAGAGCTATTGGTAATGGAATAAACAAAGTACTGAAAGAATAATGATAAGGAATGTATGAAAATAAATTATTCATTAACCAGTGCCCAGAAGAGTTCATTAACAACTGGATCTGTACCTAGTGATCCCTGAAGAACATTATAGCCCTCACTGGTCAAAAAAGGAAAAGGAAAAAAATCTTTTTCAAAAACGCTGTGTCTTTTTTTTACTTCAGATGCAAGCATGCCCTTTCCCCTCCCCCCCTCCCCCCCTCCCCCCTCCCGCATCTTAACCGGTTTTATAAGCAGAATGAGGTTGATTGAAATAATTTTTCACAGACTTTGGAATTCTGAGGAAAATAACCAACAAATTTGCTGATGTGTAAGCCGAGATACCAGTGATAAATCACTCCCTCTTCCACAACACTTAATGTGAAAAAAAAAATTGGATCTTGCCCATAGAATTGCTGAATTCTATGAAATAGCTTTGCATTTTGAAACCTTGAAATATGACAGCTTCAGATAACGAAACTTCAACAGCACTGGATCAAATTGGCAAAATGTCCACAGAAGACACCAAATGGTATCAATATTTCTTTCACTGTCAAAGAATATCTTTAAAGGAGTTTCAGAAGTTTAAAAGACTGTTATTTTTGTCACTTTGCATGGGGAAATAAAACACTGATGGGGTGTGAGGCCATAATAAATTTTCATGCAAAGATCTGTGGCAAAAAATTATTGTATTTTTTAAATTTAATTTTAGTTTACTGTTTGTTTAATTTCCCCCCCCCCCTTTTTCTCAAGGAAGGTCTTTTAATGCAGTGGTACTGAATCTGTTTGAAAAGTTATTTTATTCAAAATCTAAAGTATTGGAATATCATAGATATACTAATATTCAAGAGAATTTTCTCTTTATACTGTCCTGTGTTTTCAACAAATTGGTTCTGTCATCCAAATATGCTTATGAAGAGTACCATATTAAGATGCAAAATGTTTTTCTATCACTAAAGCAATGAGTCAAGATAGAAGGAAACATCTGCTGACTAGCTTTCAGAGGAAAGCAGAATGATAACCTGCAAATGATACATTGTACTGAATAGAGATCATTTTGCATCTAGACTATAAATAGGATGCTTTTGAACCCAAAATGCATTCAGCTTGCTTCTATCAGCAGAAGTCTTAATTATTGTAGCTGGAACAAGCAAACAACCTTTGTTTGCCAATAAAAGTACTTCATTGTATATTTAATACCCTTGTTGGATATAGAATGTAAATCTTTAAAGTCAAAACTGTCTGCTTTCCCTTCTCTCATACATAAAAACAAGACAACAGAATATCAGATTTTCTTCTTTGGAAGAAATTATTTGAAAACACATCAGAGTTTCTATACTTCTAATCTTCAAAAATCCAGTTTGCTCTTAAATCTAAGGGAGTTGTATAAGCCCAGCATTCTACTGTAGCGGTCAATTTACAGACACACAGCAAATTATCATCTATGCAGTAAAAGAAACCAAAACATCATCTAGAAATTCCAGGTAGGATTTTTAAGTTCACAGGCCACATCAGCATAATCACTGACACTAAATCCAAACCAACCAGCTTGCACTACCACTGCAAAGCATCTATTTCAGGCATTGTGGTACTTCAAATTAAGCACACCAAAACCACCAGAAACAGTGACTGAGGTTGAGTACATCGCTGAATACAGATGTGGCAAAACAGCCATCTTTCTCTGGCAACAACAAAACCATGTGCTTCTGTTTCATACACATGCAATTTTTATGAATGCAACAGCTTCTCACTAGTCCACACTTCCTAAGACTATTTTGCAAGCATTTCACACATTCACACCTCCTGTTTTAATTCCTTTCATTCTGTTTTTTCCATAAAAGTTTCCTATCAATTTTCATCAAATACTTCTTTTTATTTTTCTTTGATTGTTTCATTTAAAGCTTAGTCCCTCGCAGATTTAGAGAATTCTTACCCAATTTACAGCACCGTGCAGAAAACTGGAATGACAGACTGAGGCCCAAACCGAAATACTTTAGGCTAGAGGGAGAAATAAATTCAGCCACATGGTAGAATAAGGCTGCAGAGTAAGTCTTATGTAAGCAGTAGGCATCTGAGCAGCATACCAGCATGGTGAAGTAGACGTCTCTCTCTACTTAGATAAAAAAGAGCTAAAATATAGACTTCTATTAATGTAGGTATGGGAAACAATATTCCTAGTGATATTTGGGATAGTCTGAGTTTGGTTCCTTTTTGTTTTGATGGTTGTAGGGCTTTTTTATAATAGGCAATATTTATTCAAAATCAGAAGTTGGGCTTTTTTCTGAAGTTTAAGTTTTTTTGTTTTGTATGGCAACTTTTAAGATACTTGGTTTTAGATTTAGAACTGAAACACCGTTGATAACACACCAGTGTTTTACTTACAGCGAAGCAGTGTTCAGGGTGTTGAGGTCATTGCTCCACCAGGTATTTGTATGGGGGTACACAAGACATTGGTAGAGAACACTACTGGGACAGCTCACCAAAGAGAAATCCTACATGAAATATAATTGTGTTTGTCAATAAAAATGGGGGTAAACCAAGAAGAAAGATGTGTGTTCTGAGTTAGGCATTTGTCTTCCCAAGTAGCCATTGTATGTGATGCCTTGGTTTCCTGGAAAGGGCTAAGTATCTGCCTGCTGATGGGAAGCAGTGAATTAATTTCTTTGTTTTCACATGCACCATCAAGTTTGCATGTGAAACTGTCTTTATCTCAACCCATTTTTAATTTTGCCCATCGGATTCTTTGTCTATCCCACTGATGGGTGAAGTGAGTAAATGGTTGTTTGGAGTTTAACTGCTGCCCAAGATTAACCCACAGCATTTGGCTATAGATTTTTATTGGCAGTTGTAATTTCATTGACATTGACCAGATATTTCAGATTACCTTCTTGGGGACACAGCTGTAGAGAAACATTGCACACCGGTGCAGAAGCAACAGAAAGAAAACAGTGGTCAAGCACAGGGGTTACACAATGGGAAACAGAATGTTACTTTTGAAAATCTAGATAAGGTGCGAGAGATAAACACTGCAACAAAGATATTAATATTATCAATTTTAACTGACTGAAAGTCAATTTTTGCAAATACTATAGAAAAATTACAATTCTACAAATAAACCTCACAGATGAGGACTTTCACGCTTCAGTCAAGACATTGCTCTTACACATGACACTCACATAAATGCATCACCAGCACTGGTCTCTCTAGCTACTTGAAAAATTAATCCAAAGTGGAAAGCCTCTTCAATGAAATGAAAGAGCTACTATCCTTCCTGCATGCTACTTCTTAGATCAAATGCATGTACAAATACATTTAAGAGAAAAGAACACATTTTAATCCTTTTTAAAATAAGTTTAAAATTATGAATATTTATTTCTTAAATAGATATAAATTGACCATCTAGAAGAAAACAGAGTCCTGTCTTCAAGAAAAGATTTTAATTTCCTTTTTTGATCTCCTTACTAATGGGATTTTAGCTAAGTAATATCAAATAAGTAATATACAAAATGCAAGATGTTTGGTAAATATCTGATGTTTGTAATTATTTAAGGATGTGTGAAAAAGTTTGTGTAGACTTGTTATGTCTGACTCATTTAACACATGTGCTCTTTAGAAATAATGGAAAATGATCATCAGGGCTCTGCACACAGGAAGGATTTTTCATCTCTTAAAATTGACAGTGCTCAAACTGAAAGTTATGGAGATAGAATGGATTTATAAATGCTGTTCATTTATTCCTTCAATGTGTTTTGTTACATTACTGTTTCTTGACAATGTCTTCTAAGGACCCAGCTAGACATACTCCTTTGCCTGATTACAAAATTGTTATTTTAAACAAGTAAATAACATGTTGTGTGATTGTGCTAATTTCAGAATTGCTAGGAATAAATTCTGAAAGGACGAACAGGCTAATTACCTGATGAAAGTTGTATTATTTTATACATATACATGGTTTGTTCTACCCAAGATATTGAATGGAAAAAGGTTAGATGGGCTTTTGTATTACAGGCTTTTGGGAGTGTTTCATCAAATAGAATGTTAAAAGCTTAGTCATGTTATGAAGACTTTTAAATTAATTTACTTACAGAAGTAACACAGAGTTAATTACACCCTTGTGGTTTTGGTTGTTTTGTTTTGTTTGATTTTGTTTGGTTTGGTTTTGTTCTGTTTTTCTTTCCAAAAGAAGAGAAATGTATATAATAAATTTTGTTGATGGCATCCACTCTAGGTAGTTGCTGGCATCACTTCAGTATGATTTATATTTTGACCTTGTGCTCCTTTTAATAGCTATAAGAGGGAGATTAATATCAATGTGCTCTGGTTATTTTGACAGAAATTTCCTTTGAGCAAAGATTTTACTTGCCAATAAGCACACACCTGCATCAATCACTATAAAATACAAAAAGTTATTATTTAATGGGATGCTACAGAATCAAATAACATAAATTCAGAATCAACAAACTCAGAAAAATCCTTGAAAATGGAAAGGCAATGGAATGTAATGTCAACAGAAACTGCACAAAGTTCTTCCCTCCCACCTTCATCAATGTAATAGGATACTAAAAATATTATTGAAGCAAGTTATTTTATCAAAGTGAGGAG